TTTAAAACATGTCAGGTGAAACTTCAGAATCCTTGCCTCTCCAGAACGAACCTGTTTGTTTTCCTTAGCAGTCCATGGTATATTCAATACTCTTCTCCAACACCACAACTCAAAGGCGTTAATTCTCCTTCTATCCTCTCTAGTCATTGTCCAGCTCTCTGATGCATAGCAAGTGATTGCAAAGACTGTGGCCTCCATCAGGCTCACCTTAGTCTCCTGAGTGACACCATTGCTCTTCATTACTTTGGAGAAGTCCCTAACAGTAGATTTCCCATCACAATATATCTTTTAATTTCCTGGCTGCTGGTGCTAAAAGTGTTAATTATGGAGCCAAGCAAGCTAAAGCTGTTAACAATTTCAATCCCTTCACCATCCATCCTGATGCTGCCAATTGGTCCAGTGGTGAGACTCTTTGTTTTTCTGATATTGAGCCTCAATCCATATTTTTAAATTAATTTTAATGAACAATTACAGAGATTTTGGATTTCCATTCATTCATTGTTGCACTTTTCTCCCTGCCCACCCCTCCCCTCCAGTTAGCTTCTCTCTTTGAAAAGAAAAATTTCTTCATTGGTATACAAGCTCCCCATCTCCCCCACCCCCTTCAATCCATATTGAAGGCTGCAGTACTTGACCTTCTGCAGCACACGCTTCAGGTCCTCCTCAGTTTCAGCAAGCAGGGATGTGTCATCTGCATAACACAGATTGTTGATGAATCTTCCTCCAGTCCTGATGCCACACTTCTCCTCTTCCCAATTTTGAACCAGGCAGTGTTTTCTTACTCTGTTCTGATGACTGCCTCCTGGTCTAAGTATAGGTTTTGCTTTAGCACGATCAAGTGTTCTGGGATTCCCATTCTTCTCTGAGTCAGCCACAGTTTGTTATGATCCACACAGTCAAACGCCGTTGCATAATCAATGAAACACAGATAAACATTCCTTTGGTATTCCCTGTTTTCAGCTAAGATCTATCTAACATTAGCTACAATATCCCTAGTACCACGGTCCCTTCTAAACCCAGCCTGCATGCCTAGGAGGGTGGAGGGACAGCGTAGAAGAGGAAAACTCTCTATGAAGTGGATTGGTTCAGTGACTGGGGTAGTCAGGTCGGTGTGTCGGACAGTGAAGTTGGCACAGGATAGAGCAGGGTTAAAGCTGTTGTACATAGTCTCAGGCGACTCGATGGCACAGAACAACAACATTATAATATATA